TTTGAGAAATTTTTTTTTACTCAAATTTAAGAAAGTTAAATTTTTCAAAATTATTTTCTTGATTCAAGTTAAATTTTTTTTTGTGAATCTCTAGACATTTATATGCGCACATATATGTGAACATATATCTACGCATATATGTGAATATATACGTGGACATATATTTAGCGCAAAAAAAATATATGTGAAAATATATATTTGCATATATTTTTCACATATATATTTTTCCATGCGGGTAGGCGTAGTCGCTTAAATATACCTGGAATATTAATTATCTTTATATAGTTCTTTCTTTCACACAATAGGTACAAAAATAAATAGTAAGTTGAGTTTAAAAAGTAGCCAGCCAAATTTTCAACAATAAAAATAATTTATAGAATATTGCGATACTAATAAACATACTAATAGAATATTACTAAACTAATATACATCGAATTAATGTCATTAAATGCATAGTTTCTTAGTAAATGTTTCAAGTTGATAGTGTTTTGACGATACTTTGTTAGTTGAAGAAATAATTACTTTTCATTAAAAATCGTTTCTTTTTTAATTTTATTCAAATAAATAAAACGTATTAATTGTATTATTGACTGGCTAATTTGATATTTTTCAAGTTCAACAGAATCTTGATTACGATTATAGAGATATCAATATACAAGACTAAAAATCATTTTTATTTTAAAATATCAACTTATAATGTATTTTGATAATAGTTACACCATTTATCCTTCACAATAAAAAATGATAAACGTTCACAAAAGTCTTCAAGAATATAGTTGCGGATGAACGCTGGTGTAGAGTTAAAAAATTGTTTTGTATTACATTTTGTTACAAATTAAAAATTCAACAATTTTAACGTCTTTATAATATTATAGTTATTTATGCTACATGTGGGATAAGTAGCAAATAATCGGACAGTTGTGTTGTTGCGATATAAGCGTAAGGTTTATGGGGCATTCGTATGAAGACGAGTGTGGTAGATGTCGCTACGAGCCGTAGGCGAGTTGCGACAACCACACGAGTCTTTATACGAATGTCTCATAAACTTTACAGCGAATGTCGTAATCACGACTGTCATATTTGCTATTTATCCCACCTGTAGCATACAATAATTTTTACAACTACTGCTCTGGAAATTGAATTTGAGAGGAATATAATAAATTGTTTTTTTTTTTAATTACACTTTTTTTTGCGTTTAACACAGTTGCTCTGCGACATAAATAAATAAGGGTTAGGTCTGATCGTTGTTTTTAGTGTATGAATTCACATGAACGATAAAAAATAAATTACTTTCGCGGCATCAGATGGCGTTTCAGTAGTCTCTAGTAAAATAAAAACGACGGACTGAGTCAAACACAGATTGTGTTCGGGGTTATATTTCTATAGTAGTATAGTTTAGGGGGAATCCGTGTAGTTACATATGTGGTCTTAACCGAACATGTGCGTTATATGAAACACATATGGTAAAGTATGCGACTATTGTGTACTTCGGAGATGACATACAACGCTCGAAAAGTCAACTTCCAGAGCAAGTATTGTAAAAAGACAATTAATTAATATTGAAAATAATGAAAAATGACGACCTAAGTTCCGAGGTTGTCTCTTAATTAGGTTTAACGATCCACGTTAGCTTCCACATAGTTGGATTAACCTTAACCGCACGATCGAACTTGTTGCGGTAATAACAATGTGCCTCAAGTTTAAATACAAACTGCTTCTACCTGTCGAACAAGTTAACTTGATCTTAGAAAGTCATCTTGCTGGAATATACATCAAAAACTTTTAAATTAATTGTTGCCTTTTAACTTGTTCAATTTTTCTTTTCACTCTAACCTGAAATACTAAGTTCATTATCAAATCATAAATTATAGACTAGAGAAGCTTCTATTTCCATTTTTAATTATCATTGTGCAAAGTAATGAGTCAATTTTTTGATTGAAATATTTTTTCAGGCTATTGTATTACCACCAATGGCGAGATGGCCACATGAAAGTGGATTCACGTTTACCACTTGGTTCCGACTCGACCCTATCAACTCAGTCAATATCGAGAGAGAAAAGCCTTACCTTTACTGGTAAGTAGACACTCGTGACAAGTACACTCCCGTATACTTTTCATGAGAGACGAGAGATGTCATCGTGTTTTTTTTTTCTTTGGGGTTAACACATCATGCTCGATTCTGAATTTTCAAGAACCCACTTCTTAACACGTTATTTTTCAATGACTTCTTTTTCATCATTTTAGTTTCGTTTTTATCATCAATGTGACACTAAATTGCGCAGTTTAAACTTCTTGCTATATTTCTTCAATTTTAACGCTATGTTTCATAATTTTTTTCAAACTAATATCAACATTCGTCATGTTTTCTTCATTTCCACATGAAATGATCATAATGGAATTACTTTTTGTAATAAACTCCAAGCATGTGCGAAAAACAAATTTATGTTAGAATGTCAAACTTTCCTGTGCAAATCACTTTATTAAACTTATAACCAAAATGTTGACTGACAAACGAGCACAATGAGCTTAGCTTAACAATTCATTAAAATGAATTAATTTGAAAGCTTAAAAGATCAAATAAAATTAAGTTTTGTGTAATAATTTTAATTGGCAAGTTTTGTCCAATTAGCAATACATATTCTCTATTAAATTCTATGCTGAAATCCTTCTTCACAAACTGTTGGTATTGAATTGTTAACCTGAAACATAAGAACAAGATTTTAGTAATGTATTTAGTTGATTTTAGTTTCATAATAAACTTTTACCTCGGAAACAAGAAATCACAACACGAGAGACAAAGTAATGATGTAAGACGATTACAAGCCCGAGCTGTAGCTTAGAGTATCGACTTAGTTGACGTAACATTGAGTTGTGTAATCAATTGGAAACTTCAAAATCCCCTTGGAAATTTATTATCAATTTTTTTAATGTTTAATTTTAATTATAAGTTTTTATATTAATAATGAACTTATTTTTCAAAAGTAAACTTTGAAGTTTGAGGTTAATACCGTTTTTAATTTAACACTTTGCTAAAACTTAAGAAAGTACGAGCGTTAGGCGGGGTGGGGATAGGTATTGACTCTAGCGCGGTAAGGGGAGAGCAGTAACCATATGATTTTTCTCAATATATAGATTATACATTTAACATTGGCTAATGGCGGCATTTATTTTTCTTCACTTTAAGTAGTTGGGCAAGTGTAAATTTTTCTGAATTAAATTTATCATTAATATATTTACTTTCATCCATAAGTTTTTTAAAAATATTCACCGACAGTTTTACGAGAAAAATACAAAAATGTATCAATGTTTGGAGGTTGATAATGGGTAACAAGCGTTACCCCATAAGACCAATGTTAAATTGCTCAACTTTAAAGTTAATTATTTATTTAAATGATCGGGCAATCTCCTTCAAATTTTCAGGATTTGTTTAGGCATATTTAAACTTCATTTAAAAACAAAATCAAGCCTTTATCAAAAGTTGCCTTGGTGCTCGTACTTCCTTGATCAAGATTCACAAAAACAGACTTTAATTAAAATTATAATTAAAAACAACTTGTTATTCTATTTTTTATTTTAACAATTTGCAAATAACATTCAATCATACTTACAGTTTCAAAACAAGTAAAGGAGTTGGATACTCAGCCCATTTCGTTGGCAACTGTTTGGTCCTTACTTCAATGAAAGTCAAAGGCAAGGGCTTCCAACACTGTGTTAAATATGAATTCCAACCTAGAAAGGTAAATCTAAGTTATCATTTGCTATTTATTATAGAATAATGTTTACTGAACAATTATACACATAAATTGATTAAAATGAAATATAATTCCAGTGGTATATGATTGCGATAGTGTATATATACAACAGATGGACAAAAAGCGAGATAAAATGTCTGGTAAATGGTCAATTAGCTTCAAGTACCGAAATGGCCTGGTTCGTGTCAACAAATGACGTAAGTACTCATTTCAATTATTTGGTATCATTTGATTAATCAATTAGCTGATTGACTTGCTAATGTAATGTAATATAATATCATTTCAGCCATTTGATAAATGTTATATCGGTGCGACGCCGGAGGTTGATGAAGAGCGTGTGTTTTGTGGTCAGATGAGCGCCATTTATCTATTCAGTGAAGCTCTTACGACGCATCAAATTTGTGCGATGCACAGATTAGGACCTGGATACAAAGTACGTTCTTGTTTTCATTAATCATTAATATACGTTATTAATTCAGGACTGTGAATCATTTAATTTATAAATTTTACATTTTTAACTTCCCGCTAAAAATCTTAGATTTTCAAAAATCGGGAAGTTATTGGTTTTACCCCGTTTTGCAAAAATCGAGTTTTCATCAGATCTCGACGTTTGAAGGTCACAGGAAGCTTCCCTGACTATCCCCGCGAGGTTGTCACGGTGTGTGTGTGTGTGTGTGTGTGTGTGTGTGTGTGTGTGTGTGTGTGTGTGTGTGTGTGTGTGTGTGTGTGTGTGTGTG